AATAATTATATATATATATATATATATATATAATTTGGGGGGGGGGGGCAATAGGGATTTCACCTAGGGCGTCAAATTGGCTAGAAACGGCCCTGCCATCAGATTCACATGCACTCAGACTCCAGTAATATCCCAGATCATTGAATCACTGAGTTGTTGACTCAAGAACAGCTGCGATCGGATCAGTCCGGTTCACGGATGAATCGTTCAGTGTGATTAATGAACCGATTCATCAGGTTGATTGGAAAGAATCGGACATCGCTATTGAACTTCCATTGCCTCTAATGTCTGCAGATAAAATTCTCCATTATTCAGGAATAGCTGCAGGTTTTACTTAATTGTTCTCGATCAGTTCAGTACAGAACTACTGTTATGAAGATTATCTGAAATCATGTTACACATGTTGGATGGCATCATCTTCTTGCTTGGCCAACAATAAATCCCACTAATACAGTTTTATTATTGTTCATTTCATTGCATGTTTTGGCTGTAATAGGACAATTATAGATGTGACGTGTGATCAGACGTCCTGCGTTCACATTAGAGCCACCATATCAGACTGTCTTTACAGGCTTGTGTTTGTTGCAGACTGACGATCCACCGGCTGGCGGCCCGGTCTGTGATCCGCTCTCTGGAGCTGCAGGAGCGGGCCGGACGAGCTGCAGGCGTGGAGAACATCAGGAGAAGGATTGTGGAGCTCAGCGTTCAGGCAGGAGTGAGCAGCGTTCATACGGCCTTCATCGGCGTTAATAAAGACAGCAAACAGACGGTCAAAGGGCCGCTGCTGCAGAGGAGAGTGCCAACAGGGCGTAAGTTCACTGATTCTGAGTGTGTTTAGAGCAGGGCTGTGCGGTCCAGATCCTGGAGAGCTACTGTCCTCCAGTCCACATCAAACTCGCCTGGACCAGATCAACTCTGCAGGACACTGGCCCTCCAGGATCAGGACTGTTTAGAAGTGGGATTTCATAAGCGGGTTTCCTGTCACATAATAGTGTAATATTGGTGTACTGGCATCATCAACATGTGAAATTATATTCTTTACTAGGTATGTTTCTTGGTGCCCCTATGCCAATATGCAGTGCCATACTTGGTGCCCCTATGAGAATGTGCGGTAAGAAATAAAATACATATGTTCTTTCCTTTTTAAAGGGGTCATATGACGTTGCTAAAAAGGAACATTATTTTGTGTATTTGGTGTAATGAAATGTGTTTATGCGGTTTAAGGTTCAAAAAACACATTATTTTCCACATACTGTACATTATTGTTTCTCCTCTATGCCCCGCCTTTCTGAAACGCGTCAATTTTTACAAAGCTCATCGGTCTGAAAAGCGAGGTGTGCTCTGATTGGCCATCTATCCAGTGCGTTGTGATTGGCCGAATACCTCAAGCGTGAGACGGAAATGTTATATTGTGATGATGCCCTGTCAGGCCGGAGCGATGATTCAAAAACATGAAAACCCATTATAAACGAGGCATTCGTTGCATCCAGTGGGGACATAATTACGGATTATAATGACTTATACTGTATTTTTACGCGTTGCGTTGCATCGTAAACATAAAACCATGCCTTCATTTGTGATCGGAGAAATGACAAACAACAAGCCCTACTCTACACTGCCCAAAAAACTCGCTTTAAATATAAAAAAATAAAATATAAAAACTCTTTAAATATTGTAACGGGGTGAAGAATCACATGATAAGTAATCTCAATCAATACCCCGGAGGGTGGATTTATTGGGGTGATGGGTGCTAGTGAGAAAGGTCCAGGTAGGTGCTCCGGTGCCGTGAGTGCTCTCTTCCGTCTTCCCAGTGCAGAGGGTCCGTGCAGTGCTCCTTCATCTTCTTGCTTGGCCAACAATAAATCCCACTAATACAGTTTTATTATTGTTCATTTCATTGCATGTTTTGGCTGTAATAGGACAATTATAGATGTGACGTGTGATCAGACGTCCTGCGTTCACATTAGAGCCACCATATCAGACTGTCTTTACAGGCTTGTGTTTGTTGCAGACTGACGATCCACCGGCTGGCGGCCCGGTCTGTGATCCGCTCTCTGGAGCTGCAGGAGCGGGCCGGACGAGCTGCAGGCGTGGAGAACATCAGGAGAAGGATTGTGGAGCTCAGCGTTCAGGCAGGAGTGAGCAGCGTTCATACGGCCTTCATCGGCGTTAATAAAGACAGCAAACAGACGGTCAAAGGGCCGCTGCTGCAGAGGAGAGTGCCAACAGGGCGTAAGTTCAGTGATTCTGTGTGTGTTTAGAGCAGGGCTGTGCGGTCCAGATCCTGGAGAGCTACTGTCCTCCAGTCCACATCAAACTCGCCTGGACCAGATCAACTCTGCAGGACACTGGCCCTCCAGGATCAGGACTGTTTAGAAGTGGGATTTCATAAGCGGGTTTCCTGTGACATAATAGTGTAATATTGGTGTACTGGCATCATCAACATGTGAAATTATATTCTTTACTAGGTATGTTTCTTGGTGCCCCTATGCCAATATGCAGTGCCATACTTGGTGCCCCTATGAGAATGTGCGGTAAGAAATAAAATACATATGTTCTTTCCTTTTTAAAGGGGTCATATGACGTTGCTAAAAAGGAACATTATTTTGTGTATTTGGTGTAATGAAATGTGTTTATGCGGTTTAAGGTTAACATCTTGTAACACTCCAGAGAGAAAGGAAAACTTGAAATTGCATCATATGACCCCTTTAATCTTTTATGTGGGTCAGTCCAGCTCAAGTGGTCCAATGGAGGGTGTTTGATCATTTTCCTAATTTTTTGGAGTGATGATCTCTTTGTACTGGTGATGCATAACCATCAGTTTATTTATTGTTATTTTACCTGGTTTAACCACAGTTTCTGTGTTTCCGCACACAACACACTTGTTTAACTATTAATTTTTAAAAGAAAAATCCATCATTCTGGGGTTGAATGTCCCTAGTGGGGGACCGGATTGGACATTGTCACAGATGTTAAGTCCACTAGGACAATTTTAATGTGTATTATTTGTTATGCTTTTATTACACCTGTACATTTCTCCAAGCACATGAATAAATCTTTTCCCCAGATTTATACCAGCTCTAGTTCTGTAAGCAGCAGAATCTCAGACTCAGTTTTTAAAGCAGAACGCTCTCATAGAGGACTTGTTAGGGATATTGTGAGGGATATTTTAAAGAAATTGCACACTCACACTTTTACAGTCCCATTCAGATATTAGGAGAAGCCTGAACTGTTCTGCTCACGCACTAAATTTAACAGAAACCCCTAAAAATCAGGGCTGAGACTTCCCATCGTCGACTGACCCTAAACGAGAATCCCTGAACAATCCTGATCATTACATTTGACCTTTGATTGTAAGTGTAAGGCAGGGGCCAGCAACCAGTCTTGCACAGAAATCATGATTTCAACATAAAAATTAGTTTGATTACTGGACTGTGTTAGTGCCTACAACACAATTGAATACAGTTAATTTGTCCTTTATGTAATTGAGATTGTAGTGAATTATATCAAGTAATAATGAATTACTTTTTAAAATGTTTGTATTATTTCTCACGTTTAGGCGTATTAATAGAAAAGAAGCCCATTTTAGCTAAACTTCTGTTCTCAAAACCCCCAAAAGCTCATTCAAATCATTGCATCCTCATGAATGAGACGTGCAGATAACTAGTAGTTCAAAGACTGGTCAGCCTTCACTGAATTTACGATAATCAATTAACTCTTCAACAATTCTGACTTAGACTGTAAAGCCTGTTTCAAAAACTTGGAGCCGAAAAACTAAATGCTGAATGTTTAACATTCTATTAGTTGTCAAAATAAATTGTAACAGTTTTGTCATTCATAAACTGAAGGCAGAAAAAATATGTTCTCTTTTGAATCCCCATGTGAAAGAATGTGAATATAGAAAGGGCAGAAGTCAGCAGCACATTAATCATAAAATGTAGAATTAGTTATTTCATGCATTTAAATATAATCCATTTTCATTTACTTTACAAACTAATGCAAAATTTGTGCCTATTTTGTAGTACAGATGCACAGTGCATTAAATTACATATATACACATATCTACTGTTCACCATTCACTGTTGATCTACTGAAGCTCATTTTCCATCTGTACTTTTTCCACACTCATTTATCTTGCACCTGGCACTGAGGTGAAGTTGAAGTGCACATCTGAAAGGCTCCCGTTTGTTGTGGTCATAAAGAAACAGTTCTGCATCTAAATAAATGCAATTCTTGTCAAGAACAAACGAGACAAACAGCAGTTGTGAGCGGGGAGCTCACAACTTTCAAGATGGCGCCGACGCTGATGGCTGCCTCCGTGGCGTGCTCCGCAGTTGTTTTTATGTTTTTGTTAGTTTGTCCTGTCTTTAGTTATATCCCTGCAATCAGTTTCACCAGAGACGAATTGCTGGACATTCGGAAGTACACACCACCCGATATTTCACCGGTTTTTGATTATTCTGATGTTTTGCTGGACATTGTAGTCAGGGGAGCTGTGGCGCTGATCAAGCGCTTCAGGACGCGCAGACAGGGGAAGCGAGCCGGCGCGCTCGTGAAGCTAAGGCAGCGCGGATTCAGAACG